ACTTTTTTAGCAACCGGGGCTGCTTTTTTAGCTACCGGAGTTGCCTTTTTAGCAGCAGGAGCTGCTTTTTTAGCTGCCGGAGCGGCTTTTTTAGCAACAGGTGCAGCCTTTTTTGCTGCGGGAGCAGCTTTGGCTTTAGCTTTTGGAGCCGGCTTTGCCGGTGCTTTTGCGGCTGGCTTAGCCTTTGTTGTTGCTTTTGCTTTTGTGGCCATAATCCTACAAATAGTTTACGGGGTTTGTTCCGGTTTTTGAAACGCGGACGGCAAAGGTAGTAAAATTTTTAATAAGCAAGCCATGTAAAAGCTGCTTTGTAAATTGCTCACTTTCAAAATGTCCAATGTCGGCTACTACTATGCGGTTGTCAGCGTCAAAATAATCGTGGTATTTAAAATCCGAGGTTACAAACACATCAGCACCGGCCCTAATGGCATCGTTAAGTAAAAACCTGCCCGAACCGCCACATACCGCCACTTTTTTTACCGGTTTATCCAATAATTGCGTGTATTTAACAACTCCGCAATTAAATGTTTGCTTTAGCTGTTTTAAAAAATCAAGCTCATTTACAGCACTTTCCAACTCACCAACCATACCCGAACCTATGTTGTTACTTTTATTGTCGGGGCGATAAATATCATAAGCTACCTCCTCGTAAGGGTGGGCAGCTATCATAGCCTTAACCACAGCCTCTTCCAAATAGGCTGGTACTATAGATTCTACCCTCACCTCATCTTCGGTATGCAACTTACCCGGCTCGCCCACATAAGGGCTTGTGCCTTCGCCCCCTTTAAATGTGCCCTTGCCTGCAATATTAAAACTGCAATGCGAGTACTGGCCTATATGGCCTGCTCCTGCATTAAACATTGCCTCCCTCACAGTTTCTGCCTGTGCCTGGGGTACAAATACCACCAGCTTGCGCAGCGTACTTTCTTTATGGGCTAATATTTGGGTATTGATTAATCCTATCCTGTCGGCAATTTCTTTATTCACCCCCAACGATACATTATCCAGATTTGTGTGGATAGCATAAATAGCCACATCATTTTTAATTGCCTTTATTATGGTACGCTCTATGTAGTTTTTGCCGTTTAGCTTTTTTAACCCGCTAAAAATTATGGGGTGGTGGGCTATAACCAGGTTGCACCCTTCGGCTATGGCTTCGTCAATTACGGCTTCGGTACTATCTAAGGTAATTAGAGCGCCTGTACATTTCCAGTTACTTTGGCCTGTTAGCAACCCGCTGTTATCATAGCTTTCCTGCAGGCTTGGCGGGGCAATCGTTTCAAGATAGCGCGTTATATCGCCAATGGTTATGTTTTCCACAGCCGGCAATTAACGTCTATTAGGGATTTCGATATTTTGGCAAGAACCGCCACAACCTTTTTCACAGCCTTTGGCTGTAAACTGCCTGCTGATTTTCCAGGCTAAATAACTAATGGCTGATGTGAATGTAATAACTACGAGGGCGGTTTGCATTGATGCAAAGATAAGAAAAAATAAGGCCTATGTCAAGGCTAAATTATGCCTGAGCCTCTTCGTCTTCCAGGTAATGGATAACTTTATTATAATCCTTCTCTTTGAGGTTGGCAAAATGGGCCAGCTTTTCTACACAATCTTTATGGTGTTGAAGCAGCTTTTCTACCATGGTTATATACTTGTCATTCTCAATAAAGTAACTAACCCCTTCGGTATCGGTAACCGGTTGCTTGTGTTGCGAATACAATTGTTTGTACTTATTGAATATCGTTTTGCCTGCCTCATTCTGCTCCATAAAGGCAATAAATTCGCGATGTGTCATGGCATATACTTTTTGTTATATGATAACCACCGTAAAAAGTAAAAAGTTGGAAAAAGGGAGATTTTTAATGCGTTATA